ATTATAACATCTAGAAATAGAATAACATCGAGCTATTAAATTATGTGAAATACAAATTCTCGAACATCTAGAATTTTTAGCCTGTTGGGATAAGGAATTATAGGTTATCATCCAATCGTACTTTGTGCCATAACTACGTAGATTATACGAATAAAGGCTTGGTTTGCAGGAATGTCTCAGTTTACAATTGTTGGGATTTGATGGAAAGTTTAGAAAGTCGTTTTACTACACCAGCAAGTTTGCATCAAACAAATGGAACGGGTGTGACAACATCCCTTTGTTTTTTTTTGCTTCCGCTCTACTCATCCTTAAGCAAATACTCTAAGCCTTAAAAAGGATTGGTCTGATCTCGTTTTCTCAACTTGTTCGTGTTGTCAGGACGACCAAGTTGGACGCACCTTGTCAAATGCTCTCTGCTTTAGTAGTAATCATAGTTCCCTGGGTTGGACCGTGGACTTGGTGCACTCCCAGACGCTTTGCCGTCATTGTCACTAAGTCTTGCCAGTCTCAGCAACGAGCAATAATTCGTCACAGCGATAAATAAAGTTAACCCTGGACCAACTTTCCGTTGAAATTTTGTTCTGTTACTCTTTATCGCTCACTCCTGCCCTATCACACCTGATTTCTTCAGAAATGTGCCCTTTTAGGCGAGTTTAGTGTGGCATCTGATAGTCACCTTGACCACTCACCCTCCCTCTCGATTTGCTGATCCGATTTGGACTTCGCTTGTGGGTCCGTAGCCTCGTCTCTTATTTTTATGATTGACTGATTTCACTCGGTTCAAGTCCGAACAGTAAACATCTAGCTCTGATCATCTGTTACCTTTCGAGTGCATTTCTAGCCCATTTGGGCCTAATGCCAAATATCTGTGGCATTTTGGGTAATCCGTCTTCCTTGTCATGTGAAAAACAAAAGAGATGCCACATCTTGGTCCTTATAGCTGCGGTTATGCATTAAATAATCGATTAAATCGCAAAATTAGGTGCGAAAAGTATAATAATGTCCTGGCCTATTATTTTGGTTAAGTGTTTGGGTGCGTTTTTTCTAAACTTTGCTTTCTTGTTTGCACAATCAAACAGTCTTCATTCCAAGATAATCCTTATTCGCTTCGGATGAGGCCAATTCACTAATTCCTTCCAAACAAATTTTCCTTCAAAATGAAAAGTTGAATCTCACGAAGGCATTGAGCTATCCCTCATAAAATGTGTTTCCACCTGATATGCTCGACCCGACTTCGAATTCTGCTGCAGGTGGTACTGAAACGGATGACGATGAGGATGAGGCTGGAAGGCAGGGCTAAGGGAAATTTAGTGTCATTGTAGAGCCTAGCATTTTGATGTTTTCGAATGTGGTGAAATCTTCCATTTCTCCCTCAGAAGGAGACATTTTAGTGAATATTGGCCTAAAGACAAGCGACACAAGTACATGGCAACAAAGGCGCTTGTTAAGTGTCTAAAAGTGTAATCAAAGACCACAGGACAAGTCGGGTACCTGAAGACCAAGAGGCATTAGGGGGTGACAACCACGTGACTAAATTGCTTCTATTCACTCCCGCCGGCAGAGGGATAAGGCGTCCTGCAGACTGAAGATTGCCTCTGCACGTTGCTTGTGAAGTTGCGGACTCTCTGTGCGACCAGCGAGTTCGTTCACCCTCCTCAGCCCCACTGCAGCAGGGCTCTTGTCCGTCAGGCGGTTTGGATCCGGCCGACTCCTGAGGCCCCGGTCCGTGGGGATTCCGGCTTACGGGCGTCACTCTGTGGCCGGCCGACTCTCCGCCGCCGGCCAACACTTGAACCGCTGCTTCCGGTGCCTCGTGGACCCGCCTGGAGCCCGACTCGGACTCGGACTCGACCTCAGCATTAACCACAACTTCGGATTCGTACTCGGACTCGAACTCGGACCCGGACCCGGCTTCCAACGCAGCAAGTGCTTCGTCTTTGCTGTTTGTCTCCCCAGGGCTTTTGTTGTTGTTGTCGTTGGTAGCGGCGGCGGTGGAGGTGGTAGTGGTGATGGCACCTGACGACAGGAGGCGGCCGCTTGGCCGGATCGGCGACTCGGTCAAGTTGAAGAGGCAGAGACGACGGCGCAGCAGTTCGGCTTGTGGCGTTGTCAAGTCGGTTGGCGGGAGCGAAAGCGAGAGAGGACAGGAGAGCGCAGCGATCGGAGACACCGTCGGCGACGGTGTGTCGTCGGAGAGAGAGGCCGACCAGACGTCGTGCTGACTGTCTACAGGCGTCGGTGCCGGGCATTGCCGTGGAGACGGGACCTCCAGAGCGATGTGACAGGCCGACCAGCGCTTCTTCGTGCCCGCCACAGCGGCTTCGAGCCCGGGCGGTCTCTGGGGCGCACTAAGTGAGTGCACAATCGGGCCCTCGGGCTCGACGTTCGTGTGGCATTGCTCGGCTTCGCTTGCTCCATCCGACAGCGTGGCTTGGCTGTCGTCAAGACGACTGGAGTCAGCCGGCTGTTTACGAGGGCTGGATCGAGTCGGTGTCATGCCGGGCGACCCCGGGCTAGTGCTTCGGATGGGCACTGCAACAGGTCTCCACCTTTCGGAGACCGTCAAAAGGGGAGATGAAAGAGGGTGTGATGAAAAAATGCGTCTTTGTGATTAGGGGTGTGCTGGCGAAAGCGCAGGTGTGAATATTTTTGCTTGTGGGATTATGGCTTAGTCGGTGAAATGTGTCATGGCGAGTTCCAGAATCCACATTTTTTCAACTCAATCACTTCTTGCAGTGCACGCTGGCTGGAAGCGAAGTGTAACCTTTATCAGACACAGCATTCTGAATAAGAAGTCGTCAACTTTAGCCAATTAAGGTGATTTGAGAATTGTAGCTTTGAGCTTTGTCTCACAACCACATGAGTAAGACTCACGATGCCATTAAGCCCCAATTAGTCTTATATCCCAAGAGGTTTAATCATCCAGAATAGACTCCAATTTCCCCATCACCACCGACAACACCAAGATAAAATATTAAGGAATTAAGACGTTAAGATCAACTTAAGGAATAGTCAAAAAGTTTGGATATAGTTAAACTTGATGCAATTTGTTCTCGCAAAAATAAAGTCATTAATTTATTCAGTATAACTATAGTGTTAAGCACCTCTAGGAAAAGGGTATACACCTTGTATTTCCAAATGAGCAGAATTATTCTATGAAGATACTAGTTGAAGTAATTAACTTAACAGACAAACTGCCATAGGAGGCTAAGAAAAGTATAGAAAAAAAGTGATTCTTCATTTTGACGACGTAATTATCCCAAAGAAATCTTATGACTTGAATAAAGTTTATATGTATCAGCATCAACATGATCTGCTTGTTTTGAAGGCAGAGATAGGTGGTGCAGTGGTTCTCATGGATAGGTTAAGGGGCGTAGAATAAAAGATGGTTCATTTAAATGACTTAGAAACATAAAGACTTTTAGTGAACAATCTCACAGAGAGTGTTAAGGCCAGACTTAAAGAATCGCTTAACGTTTGCGTAGGCAAAGGAGAAATTGATAAGTGGAAAATAAATTCACTTCTCCAAAGTGATGCTGGGTACCTTTAGCTTACGGCCTTTTAAAGATACACAATGAGAGAATTCCTTTAAAAATGATTTTTAATATTAAGGGAAGTGTGGTGCATAGGATTTCACATTTAGTATGCAGACAATTAGGGAAAGTGGCTGAGTATTGGAATTAGTCAGTGAAGAATTCATATGATTTTTGGTGAGTTTCGATGTGGAATCAATGTGTACTAACATCCCGGTTCAGAGAGCTATT